TACAAACCTGCTCCACCCTCTCTGTTCTCCACGCAAGCAAATAATATTAAAAATATTCCTCGTCTCTCTCTTCCTCTCAAACCCTGTTTCTCATCTGTCAGGAACTCCTTTGGGCTCTGTCTTTAAAATATGCAAAATCTGAACATGACTCGTGACCTCCTCTGCTACCACCTGGTCTTACCATTCCTTGCTTCTATGCTTGATCCACTCCAGTCTATTCAAAGCAGAGGAAAGCCAGAGTGGTCCCTGTAAGAGTAACATAAGTTATGTCATCCCTCTTCTGCTCAAAACTCAGTAGTGGCTATCTGTTTCACTCAGAGTAAAATCCGAAGTCTTTAAAGCAGTTCCTAAGGCCCTTCATGATCTGGCTTACCGTCCAATTACTTTCCCATGCCCACTCCACTGAAGCCACGCTGGCTTCTTTCCTACCCCTTAAACATAGCAGGCATATTCTTGGTGTCTCTGTAGTGACTTTTTCCTCTGCCTGGAACACGATGTACCTCAGATATCTCACTCAGAATGGGTGACTGCATTCAAGTTTTTGTTTGAAGTCACCATCTCTTTGAGGCCCACCTTGAACACCTTATTTAACATTATACTCTCCCCAGCACTCCTGGTCCCACTGACCCTGCTCTACATTGAAAAAAATATATATAGATCTTTACATCTCCTAACTTGCTACATCACATACTTATTGTTTTAAGTGTTTATTACCATTTTTTACCACTAGAGTGTAAGCCCTATAAGAGAGTAGGATCTTTGGTTTGTTCACTCATATATTCCAAGTCTTGACACATAGTTGGCAATGAATAAATATGTGTTGAATAAATGAATGAAGAACAGTATGTTATTGGTGCAGGACTAGACAAATGAATGGAATAAAGTAGGTAGCCCAGAAATAGGACCACTCATAATGACATAAAATAGAGATAACATTGAGATAAATAGGGAAAAGAATGGATTATTTAATAACTAATAATTTATTTTGATACTTGGTTATCTATATAGAAAAAATTAAATTTTTATCTTATATCTTACACAAAAAAATATTTCCATATTAATTAGCAACCTGAAATGAAGATCAAACTTTAAAACTTTTGAAAATATAGGATATTATTTTTATAATTTTAATTTATGGAAAGAATTCTTGTGCATGATATACAAAAAGCACAAATTATAAAGGAAAATGTAGAGAAATTTAACAACAATTAAAATTTAACACATCTGTGTGACAATAGCCATTATAAGTAAAGATAGAAGGCAAATCAGACACATCAGACACAAGACAATATGTGCAAATATAAGACTGACAAAAAATTAATATCCAGAATATATAGAAACTGCAACAAATCAACAAGGAAAATATGATAACCTAACAGAAAAATAGACAAAAGCAATTTACACACGAGCAAACGTGAATGGCCAATATATAATATGAAAAGATGCTCAACCTTACTGGTAATTAGCTAAGTATATGTTAAAATCACGATTAGATACAATTTTTAAACCCATCTGATTGGCAAATATTTATATAACTTCTAACACCAAATGGTTGCAAGGCCCAGCAGAGAGCTTCTCCATTGCTTGTGGGTCAGTTCTCCCTTAAAGCTCTTTTTGCCGTTTGTCCACGGACACAAGGACCCCAGAGTGCCTAGGTGACAGCTGCAGCATATAACTCAGTGGACTCTTGCTTTGATGAATATGTACCCTTTTGGGGACCAGGACCTTTAACTCTGCAGAGCAAAGAGTTGTGGGACAGGAAGTACAGTCCTCCAATATGTCATTGGGAATAATGGTAAGTGGAGGCAAACCTGCTTCTACTCCTTGTTTTCCTAATACATGTATTCTTCTTTTGGGGGACATGGTGCCCCAATATCTTTTGGGGTCTTGGGGTCTTTGATTCAATGCATATTCAGTGTTCTTAAAGATATCACCCCAACCCCACAGAGTAATGTCTCTGGTGCTGTAGCTGTACTTCTGGGCTGTTCCAATGCTTTCCCAGGATGGCAGCTTCTGGGTGGCGTGGCGTATAATAAGATAGGTGACAACTGTAGTCATGGGTTTATTGCTGCATCTTCTGTGCTGTAAACTGGGTCTCCTGGTTTGACACAATATTATATGGGATAGTATCTGGCTGATACTATGAAGGCAGGAAATTGAAACTTGTACCTGCCTATCTATCGTCTGCCTGTCTGCCTGCCTGTCTATCATCTATCTATCATCTATCTATCTATCTATCTATCTATCTATCTATCTATCTATCTATCTATCATCTATCATCTGTTTGTCTGTCTGTCTGTCTACCTACGCACTCACCCACCTACCAAACCACCCTCTATATGTATCCTATTGGTTCTCTTTCTCTGGAGAACCCTAAGATAATTCCCTCATCTCAGAAATGCAGTGAAGTAAAATTAATAGTGAATCTTTGTTTCAGAGACTTGAGGATACTCAGTTTTTATAAATACTCAGTAAATATTTAATTATATTTACTAGCAGCAAACAATTCCCTTGCAAACAGGAAAAATGGTATTAGCAGTGAGTAACTCAAATAATGCATATGCCTATGTTTTTATTTGAATTTTTTGTTTTTCTTTAAAAAAAGTATGCATTTTTTATTTGTAAAGTAATATGAATCTATTACAGGAAAGCTTGGAAAATGAAAAAAAGTTTCTATATTCTTACCACTGTAATACAGTCATGGTTATAACTTTGTATATTTCCTTCTGGTCTATTTTGGTATGAATATTTTTTCAAAGTTGTAATAAAAACATGCACATAATTGTTTTTTTCTTTGTAAATGTAGCTTTAGGTAATAATGATATAGTCATATACATATTTCTATGTTGCATTATTATCACGATAGTAATTTTTTTACCGCATTAAATTTCATCATTTGGCTCCATTATGTTTTTTTAACTTAACCTATTTTGGGTTAGTGTATTTCCCCTCACATTTGAGCAAATATATTTTTGTATAATGTGTAACGTTATGCATATTGCTTTTTGGTTATTGTTACTCTGAATTTTTAAAGCAGAATATTAACAAGTGTCAAGAATTTCAGTAAACTTCTAATTTTTCTTTCAGCTCTGTCATCGAATCTAACAAATCTAGTGATTGTGGGAGTAGGAGGCATATATTAATTTGCCAACTGTTGTTCTACCTCAGATCTTAATTACATATGACTTAATAATGTCATGTAAAACTTGAGTGAGGCAGTTATCTTGTTTACATCTAGGTGTTGGCCACAGAATAGCAGTTGTGGATAGTTTAGAAACTCATGGTAGAAAATGAAGGTTTTTTATTTGTACCCCAGGGAAATGTAAGTCACCATTTTTGAGGTGTGTCAGCATGTGCATACTTGGGAGATGGGTCTTAGTTTCCTCCGCATGTTGAAAGGAATGGTGTAACTGCTGGTATGAGCGCCATGTCTGCTAACTGAATGGAATGCTATTTTTGTGAGCTTCTTTCTTTGTTGTCGCTCCCTCCTTCCCCGCCTTTGACCTCCTCTCTCTTTCTGCATTCATTATATTTAGTAACAGAACTCAGAAAAATGTTCTTGTTGGGGAGCAGTGATTTATCACATGAAAGTTTATAATGACTTAACATTTAAAAAAAAAAACAGCACATAAGTGAAATTGTTAATCAAATACTATGTCATTCTGTGTTGATTTTGGGAAGTTTTCCCATTTGAATCAGTAATTTAGTATTACCTTTCTTCCTTAGTCATTTTTTTTTTACAGCACGACTAGGATGCTGATCATTAAATAAGTTTCTACTATTAATACGAGTTATTATGTTTGGACGAGTCCATAATGAATTGAGTGTGGAAATCATTCATCAAATGCAATTATCCTTTTACTATGTTATTTGAAAAGTGTAGCTTTACTAAGTCCATTAAAATGTGAGGCTTTCTGTTTTTGCACAACTAAAGCAGAGAGACATTCTATGCAAATAATCTTAGATAAAATTATTTTAAAATGTTGACTCTCCTTTAAAAAATAAAATGTTAGTCATGTTTGATCACCAAATGACAAGAACAGCTTCTCTTTTCTAGTGTAACAGAGCTTCTAATATGCAATGACCATATTATTTTTGATAAAGGACTAATTATCAGTATCTTGTGTTTTCCTTAGGAATGGGCTGCTTCTGGGGAGCTGAGAGGAAATTCTGGACCCTGAAAGGAGTATATTCAACTCAAGTTGGTTATGCAGGAGGCTACACTTCTAATCCTACTTACAAAGAAGTCTGCTCAGGTAGGAAGAATTTGCTCCATCAGATTACTAGGAGGAGCAAGGAAGGGCTTGTCTCAGCTGGCAGATGATAAATTCTTTAAAGTGAACATACAATTTTTTTGTGTTTACTAAGTCTTCTCTTTCCTACTTCTGTAAATAGAATTGTTGGCCTCTCTATATTTTTTAGAAGATAATAAACCTTTGTGGAATGTATCATTTAACTGCAGAACAATCGCTCTCAGACTTACTCACTAAAACAGTCATTTATTAGCTTATGATTCTGTGGGTCAGCAATTTAGGCTGAGCTCAGCTTGGCAGTTCTGCTGGTCTCGTCTAGACTCATTCATGTGACTCCAGTCATCTGCTGAGTTTCTTGGGGTGGAGAGGTTAGTTGGTTCAGGATGGCTTCAATCATGTCTGGCAACTGGTGCTAGCTTAATACTTGCTGTTAGCTGGGATAATGGGGATGATGGAGCTTGTGTCTTCAGCAGGCTGGTCTGTGCTAATTCACATGGTGTTAGATGCAGAGATCTCAACAGCAGCGATGAGGACAAGCCCTGTACTTCTAGCACTTCTCAAGTCTTTTTTGGTGTCATAGTTATCATTGTTCCATTGCTCAAAGTAAGTCACATGGTCCAGCCCATAGGCCATAGAGGAGGGAGGTATGAAGAATTGGAGCCGTTACTGCAAAAGTCTACTACATAGGACAAACATGTCATATACCAGACATGTTGTCTTGACGTAAAAATATTAAAAGGCAGGCTATAATGAAGAAATTGGCAAACTGTGTCTTTCAGGCTAAATCCTACCTGCTGCCTGTTTGTAGAAATAAAGTTTTATTGAAATATGGCCACACCCATTTATTTATATATTATCTATGATTGTTTTCATGCCATAGTGCCAGAGGTGAGTTGATGCAACAGTTTATATGCCCTGAAAAACCTAAAATATTTATGATCTGGACCTTTATAGAAAAAAAAAAAATTGCCAACCAGGATAGGCTGATGCCCTCATGGCAAATTCTAGCTCGAATACCAGATAATCTTCTCTGGATTTTAGTATTTGGACTTCAAGGATTTCCTTTAATTTTCTGTCAGCTGAGATAGCATTTAAAACACATTTTTTCTTGATCTTTTTTATTTTTAATATAAAAACTGTATATATTTAAGGTGTACAACATGATGTTTTATAAAGTAAAATGATTACTGCAGTCAAGCTAATTAACATATTCATCTCCTCACATACATTTTGTGTGTGTGTGTGTGTGTGTGTGTGTGTGTGGTGAGAGCACCTGGGATCGACCCTCTTAGTCAATTTCAAATAATCAAAACACTATTATTAATTACAATCAGCATGGTGTACATGAGATCTCTGGAACTAATTCATCCTACATAACTGAAAGTTTATACCCTTTGACCAACATCTCCCCATTTCCCCGACTCCCACTCCTGGTAACCACCTTTCTCTCTCTGCTTCTATGAATTGGAGTTTTTTAGGTTTCACATATAAGTGAGATCATGCAGTATTTTTCTTCTGTCTGGCTATTTCATTGAGCATTAATAGCCTCTGGGTTCCTCCATGTGGTTGAAAATGTCAGAATTTCCTGCATTTTTAAGGCTGAATAATATCCCGCTGTATATATGCCACAATTTCTTTATCCATGCACCTGTCTGTGGACACTTAAGTTGTTTCCACATCTTGGCTACTGTGAACAGTGCTGCAGTGGATGTGGGAGTGCAGATCTCACATCAAGGTACTGATTTTATTTCCTTTCGCTATATGCCCAGGAGAAGGATTGCTGGATCATGTGGTAATTCTATTTTTAACTTTTGAGAAATGTCTATCCTATAAAACACATTTTTAAAGAACATTTTATTCATCATCTTAAGAATTTTTAATAGGGAGGGTTTATCTAGATATATGGTCTACTATATTGACAGAAATGGGATTTTAATAATGTAAAAACAGTTTTATCTTTTAAAATAAGGTTTGAATTGGCTTTCTTTTTGAGGGCCATCTAAGCTCTCTGAAGGCACTGTGGATGAAGGTGGGAAGGGGTTGGAATATGGAAGTTTGTTCAATAATGAGCATATTGAATGTTTTCTACAATATGAATTCCGATTTTGAAATAAAATTCGAGCTGTACAACAATGAAAATATTATAAAATATACATGTTTGTGTTGTTCTTGCTGCTAGAGATGAATTGAGATGTTCTGACTGGTATTGAGAATGTGGAATGTTGAACAAATACTTTAATGGTTAATCCTTTTTTTTTTTTTTTTGCTTTTGTTTCAAGATTAAACAAATGCTTATGCAGAGCCATAAACAGAGATTTAGATGAACCCTAGAGATTGGCCAGGCATATCCTTGTGTCTCAGGAATGGAAATGAATAGATTCCTTCCTGTAACTGCAGACGGAACTCAATAGCCTAAGAGAAAAGGTTGCTGAGAAAATCTCCAAATATCTACTGTTTATACTATTATTCTCTACCAGCAATATGTTAATAATCAATTAGAATACTGTGATTGCTTGTTTGCTCAGACTCGTCCCAGTTCAGCTCTTCGACTTCACAATGATAACACGATAATGCCCTTTGTTGAACTCCTACTATGTGCCAGACACTGTAATAAGTACTTATGCATCTTTGCTTTTTTTACCTTGTAAGCTTTCAAATAGTCCCATGAAGTGTCTCAGTTTTTGTCTTTTACAGAGGGAGCATGTGGCTCGTGGAAGAAAAGTAACTTATCCAAGGTCATACATAGCAGAAATCTCATCCTCATTTACTACTCTTAGCTCAAAGTTTATGCCGTTGCTCATGGCCTAAGTCGCCCAATTGTCATCATGTCCCAGCGATTCTCCATTCATTTATTCATACTTCCCTCTACCAAGTCACAGATTCTTTTTCATATTTCTCTCTCATGTCTATACTTTTTAATGTATTGGTGTGCCTTTTAGTGATTACTGTGAGGAAAATACTAAGCACTTTTTGTCTTTCTGTTGTTTAGAAGGGAAAAGGACAAAACCCTTTTAAGGCGCAGTTCTTCAGACTAGCTGGTGTGTTAGAGGGACCGTAGCGATGGCGAGGCACAGACAGCGCGGAGCTTGGTGAAGAACTGTCTGTTTGATGTGAACACTACCTGCTAAGTTAGAGGTGGCATCAGGAAGCACGGTTGTCATGGAAACTTGTTCCTGATTGGGAAAAGATAGTTATAGGGTCTTACCCAGACACAGAAGGAGAGATTATTTTTCCCCAGGCCTTTTTTGTTCAGATCATGAAAGGGAAAAACAAAAAGGCAGAGAGAAGCTGTGATAGAAAGATCCCTCTGGCACAAAAGTGGTAGAGCCTTCAGATCCCTGGGAAAAGCAGGGAAGGAGAACAAACAAGGTCCCTAGCTGGAGTGATTATGGTAACCAGCTAATTAAAGATTTTGACTAAGGAGAGGATGAGAGGAGACAGAAAGCGAGTTATACTGGCTGGACCTCCCTGCTGAAGCCTTGGGTGCTCAAAGCCTTGAAGAACAAATCAGCCCTGGAGAGTCTGTCTTGTAAGGAAGAAAAACCAAGTCTCTACTAAAATGCATAGTAATTGCCATGGTTTCATGTGAGAAAAATACTAGTCTAGGCTCCAATATTTGTGTTTGTTTCAAAATTATTTACTCTTGTGTTTGTAATTAAGTTTGTAAAACTTTGGTTACAATCTAGGAGTCTTTTGTAAAGGAGTGTGTGTGTGTGTGTGTGTGTGTGTGTGTGTGTGTGTAGGTATTCATTCATTCATTCATTCATTCTAGAAGCCTAAGGACCTGAATTGCTGGACAAATTCCTCCCCTCATGTAGCTGTACACTTGAGTCTGAGGTACCATTTGATTTCTTGGGGCATGTGCTAGAAATATAGGGGTAGCACTCAGAAGGGAGTTCTCAAAATCCATAAGGCTTTACTACTGCACCTTACCCCATCCTCAACCTATCACATGATGTTTTGGCACACAGAACAGTGATCAGAAGCATGGCTGTAGTTTGTTATACTCACTTGCTAGTAGCTATGCATAGCCTCAGGGAATGAGTGAGCCAGTGTGTACGCAAATGTAACAGCAGGTGTGTATTGAGACAGGATACATATTAATGTTTGAATAGTATTTCTGTGTGGCTGTTGATGAGCCTGTGATTCTGAAAGCTGAGCTGGAGTAGCAATTAGGCACATAGAAAAGATATATGGCCTCTAACAGATGAAAGGAGGTGAGCCCCAGGGTGACACATGGATAGAATCCACTCTGACATATAAGCAGAACATTCATTGAAGGCTCACCAATGGGTCTGTTCCATGCTGGGTGATCTGCCTGAGACTTGAGCCGGATATATGTAGAAGATACGAGAGGACAACAGTTTCTCAAGAATTTGCAATAAAGTTACCCTTTGGGAATGAAAGTATACAATAAGCCTATAATGCATCAGAGCCTAAATAGGCAGTTGCTTAGAAGAGAGCTTGGCTTCTGGGTCTGTAGAACGTCATGGTAAACAGATGGAATGTCCTGAGATATGTAAAAGAAAAAAAGGAGCTCATCAGGGAGGCTGGTCAGCCAGGCCAGCCTGGGAAAGAGGGAGTCCTGCTGGTCCTCTGTGAGTTGCTCTGTAAGGTTTGGTTGCTGGACAGAGCCTGACACCTTGACACTTTTTAAGTTCTATTGCTAACTACTCTTGTTCTGATCCACATTCTATAGAAACTGCTCATCTTTTTCCCTCCTGTGGATATTGTTTATAGAAAGAAAATAAAGGGACCAGGCCAGTCAGCCAGATAGTTCGAAGTCTCATTTCAAATTCAATTAAATGTTATGCCAAGATGTATATCTCAGTCTATTATGAGTTTGGTTTACACAGGTCATTCTCTTCATATCGGATTAATCTCGGGTTGAACTAAATGATACAAGTGGAATTTTGGCCTTTGAAACTGAGATTCAGAAGCCAGGCCACCACGATTTTCTAAAGGCTGTGATTTCCATCTTGCATGTTGCTGGAGACTCCTTG